AACTCGCATTTTCATACTTCCTCTTACTTCATACTTTACATCATGCTCATCTTTCTTGTTCACGCCACTCTCTTTTCTCTATAAGAGTCCTACTTTATTTTTTTGAGGATTTTGCCCTTATATAGTAGCTTTTTGAAAGATGATTGTTGTAGCAACATTCAAATTTCCTTGAGTTGCTTCGTCTATCTATTCTTCAAAGGGTACTGTAGATGAATTTAATGCAAGCATTAATTACTAATCAAAGATGCGTGTGTTCCTTATCTGATCTTAGGCAACTATCTTGAGTGTGGCAGCATTAGCGTAGAGCAGTTGGTGTAGAGTAATATTTTTCAATGTTTTATCTGAAATATTCAGGATTTTCTCTTTCTGTGCCACAATGATTTGATGTTTCCTTTTTAAAAGCTTTTCTTCTTTTCGAGGATCCTTCCTTATTCGATATGTTAAGGAATAAAGTATTAATGTTTTCTTAAGGATAATCTAACAGTGTAACAAAAAATAAATATAACATTAACACCATATCATATACTCTGTCTGATGTGCTTCATCTTACAGATGAAATGTGTTATTTTTTCATCTGTAATGTTTTCTTTTGAAAAACTTAAAGCAACGTTGTTGTTGTTTATAAGAGGCATTTTAGAAACACTCTAAGCTTTTTAGAGGGATGTTTGTGATCATCAAAACTCAAAGCATCTCAAGGGATTCCAAATTGTTTTCTTGATATTCTAAGCTTTTTTTATCTTACACTAAGCAATGTGGGACTTTAAGCATATCAAAACAAGCCCCCTAGTTGAGGCTAAGGGGCAAGAGTGGCCTAGGCCCTCTTTTTGGCACCAATGTTCCAATCGTAAGTCCGCTGTCATCATTAGGGTCACCGCATTCGAGGTATGTTTGCTTTGACACTTATTAGATCGTCACAATTTTATCCTTAAAAAGGCACATCGATGGGTTAAGGAGGGAAAATATTTATAAACTACCCTTAGTCTCGATTCCTAAGCGATGTAGGACTTTTTAGATATATTGAAACAATTTGTTTACAAGTCATATGGCAATGTACCCTCCTTTGATTAGGAGCTTCGAAGTCCTATTCAACACCTTGGGGCATATCAATAAAAGACATGAAAATCCCTTGGTAAAAATCATGGCCAAAGTCACATTCAAAATTGCTAGGTAGCTCACAAAAATACTTTTTCTACCAAATCGCTTAATTAAATTTGGATTCATGTTGAGTCATCACCCTTTGTGTAATGTAACTCTTGTAGTCCACCAATTTGCTTCACACTTGACTAGTCTCCTTGACCTCTTTCTGCCAGCCCTTTTCACTTATTTGCAACTAAAAGGTCAGATTAAAGTCTTGTTCATTTTTCGTGTCCTCCGAGACTTAGGGGCATGTATATCAAATGTAGCTTTAGGTAAGAAAAAATCACCTTTATCAAATATCCTTTGGCAACCTCTATTACCGGAGATCAACCCTATCAAAGATGAGGGCATGTATAATGGATGTAGTTTTAGGTAACCAAAAATTGACTCTATCAAATAACTAGAGATGACAGATAAACTCGTACCTATGGGTAATACCCGGACCCATCCCAACTTTGACGGAAAATATCCGGTTTAATTGAGTACAAATACGAGTACAGGTAAAACCCAAAATATTAAACCGGGGACGAGGACGGGCATATACTTATCCGCCCCATCCTCGTCTCCATCCCTAATTTAATACCCGTCTTCGTCCCCGTCCCCATCCCCATCCCCATCCCCGATTTAATACTCGTCCCCAATTTGATTGTTTTAAAGAATTTTAATATTTAATTATGTCTGATTGTTTATTATGATGTGAAATATTTGTAGTTGTTTAATTATCAAGAAGTCTCTTGATTAAAGTATGAAATAGATAAACAACCCAATTACAATTGTAATATAATGAAAAGATAAGCTAAAATTATTGTGTTTTTTTTTTGCAAATTAATTTTTGACGGATATGGATATACCCGATACCTAATGGAGACAAGGATGAGACAAGAATTACATATCTGATAGGTACGACGACGGGGACAGGGATGGGTTTAAACCATGTATATCATGAAACTCATACCTAACCCGCCCTGTTGCCATGCCTACAAATAACCTTTGGCAACCTCAGTTATCGAGGACTAACTTTATCAAACATCATTCAGTTACTTCGATTCTCAACAATCCTGATGTTACCAAGGACATGTGGACAACCTCAGAAACCTAAATCACACTTGTTCAACACCTTCAAATGTCGATGCCTCAATTAGTTACACATCCATCATCCCAAGAGGAAACTCACTCAGTACCCCCCTTAATTGTGATAACTAAATCATCTTTCGGTAATCGAGGAGGCTGAGCAAGTACTAATCAAGCGTTGAGGTAATCTAAGTAATTAGGTCTAACTACACTAAAGTTAGATTTTGGAACGTATTACCTAATTGATAATCATGGTCAATGATCCATTAAAATTTTGACCCATTACAATTAATATAAATAATATCATATATCGAGATAAAATTATTATTCATTATTTACTAGTATTTATTACTCTGAGCAAATTTCATACTCGAAGATCAGAGAATCATTTGCAAATATCTCCCCATCACTATCGTTGGAAAACCGATTTGGAGAACAAACAAGAAAGACAATGAAGAAGAAAAGAACAAAATATCTAAAGTAGAGAGAGGTCAAACCACTCTTCTATTCCACGTCTTTTTGTTGTACCGGTGTAACACTTAATTTATTTGGAAGACTTGTTAACAAGTGCTTTTACCATTATGAAGTATAATTCTGATATTGTATTTTGATACAACATTCTCGTGAACCTTTTTTTATGGTGTCATTCTGTTGCACTTTTGAAGGGTATCTTGATGGAGTCTTCTAAAATATTCTTGTAGCTTTTTTATCATCATAATGATTTTATATGATTGAGTTACATGCTTTATACCTTTTTTTAACAGTTAATAAAATATATTTAGTTATTACACAACCTCGTCACACTTATAATTTGTCTTCTGAGGTTTGTCATAATTAAAAACAAGTGTTTAAATTCAACATTATATTGTAATAAAAAAAAATGTACACATGAACATGAGTTTGCTATTTAATGTATTATTTTATATATATTTATAAAAACTTTGACATGTAAATTAAAATATATTATTAGCTAAACATCCAAAAAAAAATCAAATTAAATAGATCCATTAAAATAATTCCTTAGAATTAGTGTAATAAGATTAAATAAAATAAAACATAAATATTATTTTGTAATAAAAATATATCAATTATTTAAAAAATGTTATGAAATTTTTTACATATTCAGTATGCGTGTATGCAGTTACTATTTTTATTATTTTATAATTTTTTACTAAATTATACTTTTAATTTTTTACTTTATTATTTAGATTATTTTAATCTTTTATCTATTAAAATATTTATTTTGGTCATTTATCTTTATATATGGATCAATTTAGTTATTTTAAAAGTGTTCATTTTCAATTTTGTGGCACAATTTTAAATCAATTTTTGACTAATTCATAATGTAAAACTTGTAACAATAGATTTTCATATATGAAAATTGTGGAGTTCAATTCTTCGAATCTAAAATAGCTATAAACATATGAAAAGTGCATGTAAATATATATCACAAACAATTAAAAAATAATATAAAATTATATTTTTTGAATTTTTTATTGCCTTTTGGACTTATGTTTATGAGATGTTCACCATGTTTATGAAATTTTTTATCTGAACTTTGGTTATATTTAATAATTTCCACATAAATGAATCTAGCTAGATAATTTTCAAATCTTGAATCAGACCAAAAAGGAATTCAAAATTATATCTCAAAATTGTAAATAATCATTTTTTTGAAATGATTGTATCACCCAAATTTATGAAATAAAAGACTAGAGTGAACATTTTAAAAGTTAAAGAACCAAAATAAATTTTAAAGATAAGACAAATGATAAAAAAATGTATTTAACCTTTTTTTTTATCATCATTTAGTTGTGTGAAATGTTTATTAATGTTGTGAATAACTAATCTCTATTAAAAACTTAATTGATCATTTTTAGCTCCCTGGTGTAAGTCATAAACACTAATATTTTTTCTTTTTGATTTACATATACATATACACGTAAATAAAACAAAATAAAGATTTAATCAAAAAATACTTTGGGGGAAATTTTTGAGTTACTTTAAATAGATTTTAGAAATTAAAAAGGATTTACAAAAACAGAAAACAAAAGAAAAGGCTTCTGTGAAAATAAAATTTGTTTTAAAACTTTTGTCTATGTAAGCCCAATAAACTCTTTTCTTACTTGGGGAGTGTATTAGATCTAAACCTAATATTCTTCTATTTTTGCTTTGTCAGATAATTCATAATTTAATTTTTATTTATCATAAATCTAAAATATAATTTATATATTAAAATATTTATTTGTAATAAATTTAATTAATATAGTTTATCTAATTAAAAATAATTATTTCTTATAAATTTTAATGGTATAAAATAAATTGTTATCCCATTGCATAAGCTAAAATACGAATACATATAATATAAATTTCAAAAACTATACTTTCTAAATCTATTACTGTAACTTTTATAAATAAATAAATCTAATTATCTTAAAACTCTTAAAACGCTTCTCTTAATAAAATAACTATATGGGAAAAAACATTGCTTTGTTATTGGTTATTGGAAAATAATGCAAGATATCAGCAGAAGCAGGGTGAAAACGGTGAAAATATAAAGCCAAACCATTTTTTTGTTTCCTTGTTTCATTCTCAATCTAGAATATTGTAAAGATTATCATAAATAGTAAAACCAAATTATTACTATCACAATCTATTACTTTGGCAGTTTTCTAGTTAATGTTCATAATTCATAACTATATAAATTACACATTACAAGCCTGGGTTCTATTTTTCTTCTTTTTTGCAATATTACCCCAAAACGAAAATTAAATTTCACAGAAGAAACACAATGGCAAGACATAAAAAGTAAGAGTATGATAGGATATCATATACAAGAAGCTACTTAAAAGCTTCATATAATTCAACTCCAAATCCCACACACATAATAATAGATACATACATGTATCATACAAAAGGATTTTTGTTGTATTACAAACATTATTGCATTTCACACTACCTTCAATCAAGTAATTTGTCAAATGATCCTTCATCTCATGCTCATGACAGGCCTCAGAGTCACACTAGAAGCTGGCAGAGATGGTGGTCGCACTATGGGAACACGTCTCACAACTGAAAATGCTTCATTAAGACGTGCAACACGACCCATGAGTTGAGACACCTTCTGAAAAAATTGTTGAGAGTCCCAGAAGATTGACAACGTCATGAGATTTTTCAAAGAATGTAAAATAAACATTTAAAATAACATCATCACTCAGGAATATTAATTGGAAATAATACATAAAATTAACTTTCATAAAAAAAATTCAGTTATATTCTTCAACTAAATTCTGCCCTTCATTTTTTTTCTTCTACCAATCACTGATTTTATTTTCTTAAATTTTAATAAATTCGCATGCATACAGAGCCACTAATTGAAGCCATGCGTTCTGAATCATAGCACACCAGAAAGGAGACGACACAAAAATAACACGCACATAAATTATTGTACTGTCCACTAATTGGGATAGAATTATTTGGTGTGTGCATATCTCAAGCTAACATGTCTAGATCAATACATAATGTATCCTTTAATATTATATAGCTTCCAGACTCCCACCGACAAATAAAGCATTTATTTGATAAGACGTCATTTTATTCTGTCAAAAAACAAGTTCTCTACAGATCCATTTAGAAACTGGGGTTTATCTTAGAGTTTTCCCAAGCCCTCCTCTACCTCTATTTATTGGCTATGCTTCATCTGATCAACTCTTTTAATCCGAGCTTCTATTGGTCTTCTCATATAGCCATAAAAAAATTCTAAATACAACGGGGGAGAACAAAAACTGAAGAATGTAAAAAAACTAACACGAGGTAGAGAAGCCATAAACGTAACTTAGTATCCATAACAGGTTGAAGGGTAATGTAACACTGACACCTAAGGATGAGATCAGACCACTTTTCCAACCAAATGCACCAAAGGACAACACAAACCGCATACTGACACTAAACCCTAGCCCCTTTTTGTTTTTAGTGTTTAACTTAACCTTTTATGAAGAACCATCCAAAACTGCACCAAAGGTAGAAGCACCAGCTGGGACACCAACAGATTAAACACACTTTTTCCATATAAGTCAAAATGTCAATCCAATCAAGTTCGCATCTTTAAAATTCTAGTTACCACAGAAGTGTCTAGCATTATACACAGTTCAATATGTAAGTTGTCTTTGCCTAGCAGCTCAATAACACAACCCAGACCAAGTCTAGAGTTTCCGATTTTTCCTCTCACAGATATAAGTATCCAATTTGAGTTGTGAAACATTTATCGTCTCTTATATTTAATAACAAAATTCAACAAACAACTAATGAGTACACATACAATTTATTCCCAAAAAGATGTTAGTTGTGTTGCATTAGTCATTGAAAGCCCCTGTGTATACAAATCAATCCTGAAGTTGTCAATATGTACAAACAAAACCTTTGACAAATCAATGCAACCTATAAGGTGTGCATAAAATCCAAACCGAACCGATACAAATAATAAAGTGGATCAGTTTAGTTTTATGAAGAAAAAAAACGAACCATATCCATATAAAGTGGATAACTGAACTAATCCAAATTAAAAAATCGGATACATTTTTTAAAAGAAAAAAAAAGCAATCTATTTTATAAAAATCGGATTGGTTAACCAAACCATTTTTATAAAATGGATCAGTTCAGTTTGAATTCTTAAAAAAATTAATTCATGAATAGCCCTAACCCTGTCAAGTAACATCTTAGGGGAACCAAATTGTACATTTTGTAATTACTATGTGACAAAGGAGCCTCTAGCTTCAAGGCAGACTAAGCTACCACTGATACTCCCATCCAATTTATAACAGCATATTAATATGAATGCATGTTTAAGAAGAGGATTAACACTTCAATTCAAAAAAGGTTTAAATACCCTTTAGGTCCATAATGTATTATTTTAGTCCTCAGACATAGGATTTTTGTTTCTTTTTTCAATTCTTGTGATCTATTTCTATGGGGACTAAAAGGAAATAAAAATACCAAGTATTGGAACTAAAATTAGAATGTTCTTAATTATAGAAACTAAAACATAAAATTTATAAAACTATAGGGGCAAAAGTGTATTTAAACCTTAAATAAATAATCGCTTATTTTCCATAGTTCAACTATAAAAAATAATCGCTAATTTTTCATTGACAAACATAATCATTTTTTTTTTGGTTTCATAGAGTTATCCCTTCCGAAGCAATCCTATTTGAAACATCGTCAGACACCAAGTATGAACGCCTCTTGACAGATACTCAAACCTTGGTGTGACTAGGGGTATTTTTCAATCCACCAACACTGTTCTTCTCTGTTTTTAGCCTTGTAACGTGAAAACGGACCTTTGTTGCTCGGAAACCGAAATCCAAACACACACTAACCCCTTCCGCTGGACCAAAATAAGCCAATATTTTACCAAAATAAGCTCCACCAAGCACGCGTGTCTTCTCTTTTAAAAGGAGAAAACTCAGACACAATTCCAAACACCCAATAAAAACATGCACATATTATCGAAGAAAAACTCCAATTCCAATAATAGAATTGCACCAACTACAATTAAATTAAATGCATATTATCGAGATAAAATTCTAATTCTGATCAACACAACAGTACCAACCACACTTAAGTATCTTTACCTAAGTTCCCTTTTAAAAAGTTTTTTTTTTTCCCTTCACAAAATCTTCCTTATGAGGAATAATAATAAAAAAACAATTATTTATTGAAAAGAATGCGACGCAAAGTATTTGGGTAAAAAAAAGGGAGGAAAAGACCTTATCATCGAGAGCGAGGTTGAGCTTCAAAGTTTGCGTCTTGCGCTTGATTCTGTACAATCTCCGTCCGAGGAAGAAGAGTCCGAGCAAAGCGGCAGCAGCAGCGACGGAGAGAGACCAAACAGGAAGAGGCAAAGGGTTGAGCCAATACCTGAGCACCTCAAACGGAAGCTTCCACCACACCAACCTCTTCTCCTCCTCTTCCTCTTCCTCTTCCTCTTCCTCTTCCTCTTGCTCTTGCTCTTCCTGCTTCTCCTTCTCCTCCACCTCCTTCAAATCCTCAGCCACCAGCGCCGCCGTGTCGGAATCGGAGTCTCCGCTCCAGGGGCCGAGGGTGAGGGCGGCGGTGGGACTGGGGAAGAGCTGGTTGGCCACATAGGAATCGTCGAAGTTGCGATCGACCTCCGACGATGAATTGGAACTGGAACTGGAACTGGAATTGGAATTATGGAGGAAGGAGAAGTGATCGGGCCTGATGGAGTCCAGTGGGGGCCCAGCGAAGACAATTGGGCCATGTTCGTTGTTGTTGCTGTTGCTGTCGTTGGGATGGAGCAATTCCCAATCCTCTGCAGCTTCTTCCAATTCGAGTTCCAGTGGAGAGCGTTTTCCATCCATGCCTAGATTCGATTCGAAGGAAGAAGAAGGAAAAGAAAAGAATCTGAATTTGTAATGGGAAACCCTAATGCAGCACGACACGCCACTCGGATATCAAATGCAATTTAATAATAACCGCCTCTCGCATTACCCGCCACCGTTTCACTCTCCGCCAGTTACTAATATATAAAATAAATTTCTTTTAATAATCACTTTAACCTCCATATTTTATTGATTATTATATTTTTTAATTTTTAAAAATTAAAAATTAAATAATATTTTTATTAAAATTCATTTTCATTTTTATTATTATTATATCCTTTCATTTTTGTAATGTAATAAATGTGTGTCAATTGTTGTATAAGTTAATTAAAAGTCAGATAAGATATTTATAGACTATGCTCCCTATAGTATATTATATTTTTAAAGGAAATAATTTCTCCTTCTAAAACTTTCCTTCAATAAATTTGACTTTTTCTAAATATTTTTATATATAGATATTATTATAAAATAAATTGTTACTGAAAATCATTTAAAAATATATCAAAATTGTTACTGAAAAATAATTATATATATATATGAATATTAAATGTACGTTATAATTCAACAAAAAAAAAACCAAAAACGTTAATAAATAACGATAATCTATATAATAATAATCATTAAATGATAAACGATATTTCCGAATATTAAAATTTTTAAATGGCTTAGATTATAAAAAAAAAATTGAACCGTTTTCAGTCATGAATATTAAATCTCTAAAATCATTCATAATTAATGAATATTGTAATATTAATTAGCATTAAGGAAGATTTTATAGTATTATTTACTCTAAAATATTATTGCAATAATTTATTATTTACTCATACTGTTATTAAATAGATAGGTTTTATTTTAAAAATTAATTATCTAATAAAATTAAATTTATTTAAAAATTATAAATTAAGTATAATTTTAAGGACTCATATTATAAAAATTAGTCTAAATTACATGATAACTATTATTATGTGAAAAATTTAAATATTATATCACATTACTTAAGGACAACAAAGTGGATCAATCCATTTAAAGCAAGACATGATTCACCAAATAAACAAGATGAGGTGGGTCCAAAGAAAATGATTGAAAAATGCAACCCAACCAACTTAAAGGTGGGTTGGTTCACTATAGTAAGTTGATAGGTTAAAAATTGTAAGTTGACAAATTAACTTACCTTTAAACTACCTATTTTTTTAAAAGAAAATCTCAATTAAAATATTTTAATATACATTATCACTTCAACTTATAATTTTATTATTATTTAAAAATTTGATTAGATGCGTTATATTATTTATAAAAAAGGGCAAAGTAATATATATTTTTATTAGAAAAAAGACATTGTACATAAAAATGTACTAGTAAAAAATATATAATTAAAGTAATATACTTCTATTTCATATAAAATGAGAATAATTACTAAGAAAGAGAAGTTAAACCATAAAATATAAACATTGATCCAACATAAAATTTACTATAAATTTATCTTTTAACAAAATAAAATATAAAATAAAAAAATGGGTTGATGGATTAATGCACCAAGTTGGCAAGTTGACGGGTTGGGCGAGGTGAATGAGTGGGTTGGTGGGTTTATTTGTCCAATCCAACTCACCAAAAATAAGCAAATTGACCCACAAAGTTCAAACCATATTGTCATCCTTATCATCACTTACTAAAATAAATCATGCAATGCACGAGTATCGAATCTAGTAAAAATATAATTGAGAAAAAGTAGCCTTTAACTACACAAACCATCCTGCTAATTCTTTTATGCTCCCATACCAAGTATAGTCATTGTAGTTCTAATCATAAGGAACACATGGGTAAGCTTGTGAAAAGAATTCAACATAACATCTTATAAAAACATCATCATATTAAAATATTTCAACTTATAATAGGACAACATCATCATCATAGCAACTTAACATCTCATAGTATGTTTATCATATCAACACACACACACACACGTATATATATATATATATACACACATCATTTAATGCATCGTCACACATATCAATTATGAAGACCTCCTACATCTTAGGGTGAGTAATTTAAGTGGTTTGACCCTACCGAATTACAACAACTAGTATAACACTAGAAACAACAACTAACATAGAGGCCAAAAACAATGGCTAGCACAAGGCTAGAAATAACATCTAATATAAGCTAAATTGATTTCTCATGTTTCACCACTTAAACAATAAGTTATGGCACTGTGTCAAGATAGGACAAATTGGTATGGGCCTACCATAACATTAGTCTACAACACTAAGTCACCTATGAGATTAATCTACCAACTATCCTCTAAATACAACAACCCTCTAATACTAGGTTAGAGACCAATTTCTCAACTCAGTTCTTTACTCGATTGGTCGCTTTATACTCGTGTGCCTCGACCATGCACAAACACAAATACCACATAGAACCTAAATGAGACAACTAAAAAACAACTTACCTACTGAAGGGTTTCAATCAGGCTCTCGGAGCACTACAATGTATATCCGCACAATGAGATATTAAGTTCGAAGACATTTTTAACTCTCTTCTAATTTTTATGTATCGTAGCTAAGACATGTATCTAACCCACATATTTATAACATGTCAACTTAACAACTTATCATCTTCCAACACTAAACTTATCAACTTTAACAACATACCACTCATACAACATTCAAATTTCAACTTTACAACATGATAGCTTAAACAACATAAACATCGTACTATATTTACAACATGAGCAACTTCACAAAACAACCTTAATTATCAACTTAGACAACTTAAAATAACACACAACCTTACAACATGGTCAACTTACAACATATCAACTCATTTATCATCTCACATCATCATTCGTACAATTACGTAGTCATAAATCAAATGCTAAACAACTTAAGCAATCAATTATAAAACAACATTGAATAACAACCTTTCATTATACAACTTGCGCTTGACACCATTCATTGGACACTCGATGTCACTAAGACAAGGAGCTCCCCATCTCGCCCACGCCTAGCGTGCCAACACCCATGCCCGACCCCAATCAAGTATAGAGCTCTCTACCTAACTCACGTTCGACGCCACTCCACCAACACTTGATGTGATCCCAAACAAAGACCATCCTCTCATCTCATGCCCAACGCCTTCACAATCTTGACGACACCAATCCTACATCCAACATGAGTGAGACAAAGACCCCTCTTAGGAACCACGCCCGATGCCTCGAAGAGGCACCTAATACGATATCAATTTCTACACTTCTACAAAGTCTGATTTCAGTCATTCCCTTAAACTCAAAAATCCGAACATGCAATGCATAAAGCAACAATTATACAACCTATACAACACAATTTTACCATTAGAAACAACATGCAAATACAATTAATCAAGCATTATTTCAACTTATCATACTTCACCTCAAGCCACAAAACCCTCTCAACTTCAACATTTAATCACTCAACACCTTCAACCAACTCAATCCAATCATCACCAACATAGAATGCACACCTAAATTTGAAAGCATAGCTTCCTTTACCTCTTAGAAAAAAATCCACAAAGAAGAGAAGAAGAGAAGCAACTTCGCACACCACTAGCTTGAGGCTTTCGATTTGGAGCTCAAATTCTTCATCACCTCCTAGAATCAACTAAGAAATGGTAGAAAAGGAAGGGTTCAAATGCAATGAAGAAAGAAAGAAAGAAGAGGGAGTTCTCTCTATAACTTATTTCTAGAGTTCTTGATTATGAGCTTTTAAAAAAAAATCCTTTTATATCTTTCTTGAGCCGACTGCTCTTATATCTATGATCTTACCTTTCAAAGATCAACATGCTCTTAAGACCTCCCAATCTCAAAACTCTCAACAACAATTGTCAAATCAAATAATAAGATTATGAAATAATAGTGTTACATAATTAACAGACTATACATAAATAAATAAGCCTTGAAAATTTTGAAATCAAAAGTGATATTCTTTCTATATTTTCTTACTATAGATAGATAAATAAACTTTGAAAAATTTAAAAATTAAAGTAATATCTTTTATATATTTTCTCTATCCCAAAATAAGTATTGTGATAATTTTTAAATAAATGTCATATTAATTTTTTAAAACAATATTAATTACTTATTTTTCATCAATATTCTAATAATATTATTATTAATTAATTGTGATACATCTTAACAAAGAATGTTAATTTTATAAAATTATTATCTTCCTTTATTTATTTATTTATTATTTTAATCATTGTAAAATTACTTAGAACGAAAATTACCATGAAATGGAAGGAGTATAATATAGATAAATATGACTATTTTTAATTCATTAGTTATTTATCATAGTTATTATAATTTCCACATCAATTTCGTCACAGCAACAATAAATTGCTGATAATGAAGTTTAGAATTTTTGTAGTTTCCTCCTGATTTTCTTTTCGATTTAGCCTCCATATTTTATCGTTAACTTTGTTCTTCTTTGATGGCAGTTAGATTATTTATCCTATTAAAATTCATGTGAGCAAAGTTTAAGGATTATACATTTATAATATAAAGTATTTTAGTCTTTCAAATTTTTATTAAAAAATTTTAATTTTTCAAATATTATAATTATACGATTTTAAACCTACTATTAATAATTAAATAATTTTTATAAGAGAAAATTTAATTAGTATATTTTTAATTTTTTTTTCTATTATAGATTTATTATGCATTAATACTATAAAAGTATTTTTTTTTACAATTTTTAATTAATTACAATTCATTATTAATATAATTTAATTTGAAAATTTTTAATACTATAAAATATGTTTTTTACACTTTTTAATGTGAATGATTACATATTCTACAAATTAAATTCTTCAATTGAAAGAAATGTTCTTGACAACCAAAAGGAGCATGTTTGTGGGCAAGTGACATGGCTTGATAGTAATTGATTAAGAGCATCTCTAATGGGGTTGCTTATAAGTAATCCTTGTGCCACATTAGTTCTGGTCTACTTTATGGGTTGCTTAAATTTTAGCAAAGTTGTTTGTAGAAGTAACTTTGCTAAAATTTAAGCAACTCATAAAGTGGATCAGAGCTGGTGTAGTAATGATGTGGTACAAGAG